GAAGCCTGGGGACAGTCGGAGACGAAATGAAGACAGAGTCGGCCGTCAAAAGTTTTCCTTTAATGCGTGGCGACGTTCGGAGAACGGCCGAAATAAATATTAACGTTTTAAATTATAGGGGTGGAGCATACACGAACGACGGAAGGGGCAACGCCAGCCTGCCCCCGGGTGGAGAACCAAAAATAATAATAATAAAAAAATTAGAAATAACGAAGGAGGGGAAGAAAAAAAAAAAAAGAGAACAACAAGCGCGAAAGTGTCGAAGAATCGTGGTGTGGATGAATCGCATGGATGAGCTCAGTCTCTTCGAGGATGTTGGCCAGGGGCAGAAACTGAAACGGAAGAAAAATAACGAGGAAAAAGGGCATCATTGAGTGAGGCGACCGTTGCGATATAAGGAGTGTCGAAGAATCTGCAGAACCTCCGCCCCCGAATTCCCAGAGACAGTTGACGTCACTAACCCACTCAATGGGGAACGCAAGTTCGTCTGCTTCTTGCTCAGGGGTTGCGATGATGTCAGAACGCCTAGCTCTCATTGGCTGAATGAATATATATATATATATATATATATATATATATATATATATATATATATATATATATATATATATATATATATATATTGGGTAGATTTTAAGGTTTGTAGGGTAGATTTTAAGGCATTGTGGTCTATCAAAGTCAATCAGAGCACGGCGTTGTTCTGACGTCACCGCCAGGCGACTTCCTCTCCGCGTAAGAACGCGCCATTTTTCTGACGTCACGAAGTAGGAGGAGCATCTGTCAGCGCTTCTTTTTCTTTTTGCAAGATTGGCAACAACAAAAACAAAGGCCCGCATAAGGTTCGCTCCGAATATGCACATTGAAGGTTGAACGGATTGTTGTTTTTAGATGGGCGAGACTCTTTTTTATTTCCAATCTTAGGTTGAAATTGTTCTGCCTTCACGCGCATTATAAACATCTTACGCGAAGTAGACAGCAACTGCTGATCAAAGCACGTTCTCAAAACTGGACCAGTATTTTTACATCATCAAAATGCACTCAAAAAACCAATCATTGACTTTTTTTTCTTTCTAACAGTTTAGCCGATGGGATAGGGAAGTGGAACCGGGCACTGTCGCAATCTCAGCGGCACAAATCTGTTCACCCCCCTTCGCAATCGAAACTGCATTATTCGTCGTTCTCACTGACTGCCAAGGCATAATAAGATGTTACCGTCTCGCCACTGTCTGTTACTATATATGACAGAGCATGGTATATCCACCGTATAGATCACCTTGGCTTATTTATTAAAGATCATAGATCGATGTTTCCAGTTGTTTAGGCAAGCACACAACCAAGGACTTCTGACAGCGCAGATAGATCGGTAAAGACAGAGCAGCCCGCCAATTTATCGAGCGTAAAACTAATATAAACAACTTGCGTTGGTAAAACAAACTAAAAAACAAAAAGAAAACTCGTTAGTTTGCGAAGATTGTTTTGAAAACAAGTGCTGGGAAATGGCTAATGGCATGGTCACCTTATTCCCTAGGATACAATACAATCTTTTGCTGCAGATAACACTGTGATACACGGAGCAGATTGGTTCTTCGGAGTGCTTATTGCTCGAACGCCGCATTCTGATTGGCTGAAGATCAACATTGAGATGCTTGGGTTGGGGCTCAACACGTAGTGCGTTTCTTTTAAGCTGTTCATGATATACAGGGTGTATAAAAAAAGTTTAATTCGAACATTTTTTTTCTACTTTGTGAAAGGTATCTTATAGTCGTTTGTGCAGGTGAGTTACACGGCCGGAGGGACATAAGAGACGGGGTCATTCCACACGTTAAGTCAGAGAATTAACGAACCAATCAGTTAATTAGCTTTTTATTTAGTTAAAATAAACGTATGATTGAGATTAGGAGACTTCATCAGCGTCATCGGAAACCACTAAATTCGTCAGTTACAGATAGACTCGAAGCATGTTGAGAGCGCCGAGGTGCGTCATGGCTGCACGTCGTGCAACAGACCCGAGACTATACTTCGTCTCACCCTACGATGGACTAAAGGCAAATGCTACGGACCGCCAGATCCAATCACGAGCCCCTTAAAAGTTGTGCGGTATTTCGCTTCGATGCACGTATCGGATCCCGCGTCTGGGATCACTGATCAGGAGGTGGGTGCAGAGTGGCTCGAATCGAAGAGCATTGAGTGACTCAACAATTTTACATCGCAAAGAAAGCCAGGACATATAGGCTCTTTGCACAGCGTCGAAGCTATAGAAATGATGCGGTGCTTTTGGATTCGGAACATTATTGGTCCACCCCTATTCAATGTTAAGCGTGTCATAGTAGCGTCGAATGGGATTAAACCTGGCGGCCCGTGGCTTTGGGCTTTAGTCCATCGTAGGATGAGGCAAAGTATAGCGGTGCGAGAACGAGAATGATCAGATTAGCATCCGTGTTTCCGCACTGCTAGCGTCGTACGTGTTGCCAGTGGTAACTTTGGGACTCCTCCAGAGCGCTTCCAACCTGCATTCAATCCATCTGAAATTTGATTTCGAAGACGCTCAGCAAGTTTCTAATTGGAAACATACGTTCATTTTCACCAATCAAAAACTTCATGAACACGCTTTTTCCAATTATTCAAATTAACGCGTCAAATAATTAACCCCCTATATTATGTCCCTATGGCCGTCAAGCTCGCCTGCGTAAACCGCCTTTGTGTGCCTTTCACTGTATATATATATATATATATATATATATATATATATATATATATATATATATATATATATATATATATATATATAAATATATATATATATATATATCGTAAAAAGGAGGTAAATACTTTTATTGGACGACGTTCCGAGCGGGGACCGCTCTTCATCAGGTCTATATATATATATATATTCTAATTTAGAATCAACCACTTTGTATAGTAATATCTCGCACAACTAAACTCTGCACAGCACACACAACACACACACAATCACGCACAAAACAAAATCAATTTGTGCGTCTATTTTCGCGCATATATCTTGGGAGGTTCCATCGCTGGAATAAGGGAAGTGTTAAAAATACCATCTAGAAATGTCTTCTGCGCAATGTCATTGAGCATGACGTTTCAAGTGCAAGCGTCACCACGCAGACTGCATTTCTAGGTTCTAAACACGTCTCGCGCAAAGTTGCACCCCTGATTGCAGTAAACAAAATAGACCTGCAGCATGGTCACTCGCCGACCGCCCTTTATAGACTTCAGCGATTGGCTCACACAAGAGCTTTGCAGGAAAGTAGGCGCGCCAGGTTCCTTACAATGTGGCGTATGAATTGATTTTTTCAACTGCCTCCCCCCCCCCTTTTTTTTTGTAGCTTAGGAGTAATGAAGCGATTATGAGCAGTTCGGTAATTAGACTCTTGCCTATTAAAATATACTAAATGACTTGTGTTTCTTTATTTTTGTTTTGTGTATGTGTGAGTGTAAAAAAAAATGGTTCAAAAGCCGGAGACGTCCAAACTAAAATAAAAATATCAACTTCGCATAATAATAAAAAACATCATAAAGCATTTTGCTTTTTTCGGGATACATAACCAGTGGTTACAGAACAAGTGTGCGGGTTTATCTTAACGTAACCACTGATGATGCCTTCTGCATGGGAGGCAAAACGTTTAATTAATTTGTTTCATCTTTCATGTAAAATCGGTGTGCTTATTTTAGGCATTTTTTTCTCTTCCATCTTCGCTAGTAAAGAAGTAATATGTTAATATTCTCGATTCTTCATTCCTCTGGTAAACGGTAACGTAAGTATACAGAACCTATTGGTGGTTTCTGAGCGTTGGTTTGCATTCCACAATGTGCGCCTAGCACGCTGGTCGAGATCAGGAATTCCAAAACACACATTTTGTAACTTGTTTTGACCGGCAGTTAGTTGGTGCGCCGAAGCCGATTTGCCGTAACCTAGTTCCCACGGAACACTTGGAACCGAAAAGACATACACGTAAAACGACAAGCAACGGACCAGAACAAGAAAAACAAAACGATTCAAATAAAAAAAAAAAACGCGTACCAAGAAGTTGAAGTAGTCCAGGTCGTTTTTACGTCACGTATCGCTTTTCCAAGTTCGTCTTTACAGCTTTTTTTGTCTCGTTTCCTTCTCCGGTAACGCCTACTTCCTCGGTGGGCGAGGAGCGAGCGCTGCTTCTTCGCCGAGTTCCAGCTGACTGGGTCATCCAACCCGCCAGACGGGATGTTCTAGCGGCGGTTTATGTTTCTACTTGCCAACTCCGCCGCTGTTGGCCGAGACGCCGTCTTTACACTGAAGGTCAAGGGCGCTCGGCGTGTGTGTGCGTGCGTGCGCGTGAGCTGTACAGCCGCAGGCTGCGTTCTGGGTCGTTCCTGTTTCCTGGATGCCGGCCGAGGTTACCGAGCCGGACGGAGATGGCCGATTTTAATTGGCTTCTGCCGTAATTGCCTCCCCCTCTCTCTCTTTCTTCTTTGCCTCTAAGTTTGACACTTAGCATTTTGCGAACCCGCGGTGCTGCAGCAGGTCCCTCAAGTCACCAACAAGCCGATCTACTCTTGTTGGTGAACGAAGTTCCGTGTTTGTCACGGTGTGGAACTAGGCCACAAACAACACTTTAAAAAAGCCCGTGCGTCTCCTTTCCCTCACAGCACTCGGAGAGCCAATCACCGCAACTTACGGAGGCAGGTCAGCGAATGATGATGCCGAAACATATGTTTAGACCATAAAACTCAGTCTGAGTTGTGACATTAAGCAATGCAAGCGTGACGTCTTCCATTGCTTAATGTCACAACTCAGACTGCGTTTATCCCAGTAACGCAAAATTAAAGCATAGTTTGATGAGCTAAATGAACTAAGTGATTGATCCCCAAAGGCTTCGGTAAAAGCTAAGGACAAAGATCACGAGAATTGACTTTTTCGGCTGAAACTCACCTGTACAGTCGGAAACGTTTGGCAGTGTCCTATTTACAAGAAGGCGGAACCGGACCGGACGACGTCCCTAGTTGTTCTTGGTGGCGTACTTCTTCTCCCCCTGCTCGATGGCCTTGGTGACCCTGTCCAGGACGTCAGCGAGGCCGTCCAGAATAGCGGGGTTGATGGACGGCAGGCTGAACGTCCTTTTCTGGCCCTCCCTGAAGAACAGGCTGACGCCAAGCAGCGGGAGCAGCAGGCCTCCGAGACCCAGCATCAGCAGCATCGGCACGGCGTTGGTCAGCATCGACGGCAGCGAGGAGACCAGACCGTTCATGATGCCCGTTAGACCCTGGGTGAGACCAGCGGCGAAGCCTCCCGCAGCCGCGGCTCCAGCTGAACTTTGTCGGTTGATGTTGGTCTGGTACAGCGCTGCGTCCGGATAGCCGGCTTCGGAGAGCGCCACCGCTGCCGCCGATAGCACCAGGGCCAACAGGGTCATCGGCTTGCTCTGCATCTCGGCTTTCTGTGGCGTTTTGGGAAAGAAGAGTTGAACCGTGTGATGGACAGCTCAACAGTATCGCAGCATTTGTTTGACTACTAGACCTATATGACTGAGGCTGGCTTCTACAACACCGAGTGGGGTAAAAAGAGGTAAAAATGTATTACTCTTAACGTCTTGTCACAAGGCATGCTCAACGAAACGAAAGGAACCAGTGGAACGCGTGGCCCCGCGCGGATACAGTGGCTCTAGCAATTACTAGATCAACCGAATGCCGGAGCCATGTGGTCCCTCTAGGCTATACTGTATATGTTAGCTGTACGCGATACAGTAACTGTATACGCTCCTGAAGCGAATCATACGTCGTTACTCTAGCGAGGCCACGCGCTGTGCTGGTTCAGAGTAATTTCGTGAGCACTTGTAGGTTGACGAGTATCGAGTATTTTATCTTCCCAGCTGTACGCCGAAGTCGCTTGGTTGCATGTTTCTTCCAATTGATAAAATATTTCGTTTCTTTTTTTTTTCTTCGCCAAATAGTTTTAATGCCTAGAGACATGAGGATCTGGACTGGACACTTAGGAGCTTCGGGGTCAACGGCGTAGGTTTTTCCGCGCACGCATCAATGAACACCAAAGTGATAGCTCTAAATTCATGCTGACTGCTTTGAGGAAAATCCATGGTTGCGGGGAACCAAATCACGGAAACTCCATTCTCTTGCCCCAGACGTGTCTTAAATATTGTCACGAATGACAATTGATGAGGCGATGATAACTGAAGAGAACTAAACGTTTACTAGGGCGAACTTGTGCCCAAAATAAAGAGAACACAAAGAAGAAGAACAGGACGTCGCGGGCGTCGAAGTCGGCGTAACAGCAGGTTCGAGCGCTAGGGCGAGACTGACTGCGGCTTGCCCCGCGGAGCCCTTTTTGTACGCGCGTGGGCTTCTCGAACAATCAACCGTAAAAGGTTCGCGCATCGAACATTCTGACCTCGAACATTCAACAGAGCTCTCGAATTTCCGAGAACAGTAAATTGCAACAATAAATAAAAGGCATCAGGAATCGAACCCTGGCCTTCCGCGCAGAGGGCAAGCGCGATAACCGTTAGGCCACGGGCGCACCGCCTGCTTGGTCAGCTGTGCTCGCGGCAATATGGCATGTACGATTCCAAATGTCGAAAAAAATTGGAGATTAGTGTTTTCTTAACACGTTAGAAAGATTATACTGATTTATGTTTTATTTTTTCCTTCAATCTGGACAAGTAAAACACTTTCATGTGGAAATGGTGTCCCACAAGGTACACAGACTCACTGTAATATTGCAATAAATACTTCGCATAGCATGCCCGTGACCGCAGAAGGCTATGATAGAATTACAGGGATGTCTTGCTGCTAGCTGCCACGGTATAACTTCAACGAAACGCGCTGGTTTGCAGGTTTGAACCCCGACCGAGATAGTGCCAATCTGACGAAGACTGACTGTGGCACAAGCACTGTGCAAACTAAATTTCAACTGCGCGTTTAAATAAATTATAAGCTCTAAACTAAAACAAATGCTTTTTTTTTCAGACAAATCATGTTACTGTCATTTCTTCGTACAACTATGCCGAGCGCTATTCTAGTGGCATTATGTTTACTTCCCTTTTTTTAACTTTGATATCCTGCCCTCTGCACATGAATAGCCTGATACCGGTCTCTTAGGCTATGTCAGGGACATCAGTTGAAATATTACAGGCCCCCAATCAGTTTCCATTATGCGGTTTTAAAAGAAACGATTCAGGTGACCTTATAAGTTATTTCAGAAACGAAAATAGAAAGGACATGAACATCTGATTTCTTCTGAGACCGCAGAAGAACAGTAAAGCGTCTAGGACTTTTTTCAAGAAGGGCGCGCCACAAGTGGGGAGTTCTTTTTTTCTAATATTTCTTGCAAATTATCAACAATGAATTCTATGTTGATTCAATTATTTTATTTTTAATAATTAACAATAAACAAAACCGCATGGCGTCCTTGAGGTTCACAGTAAAAATTTGATGATTTGTCCAATGTTATCTGAGTCGAGTTATTACGCAAAAGCGGGTAAGTGACGTAAATGCACGCCGTTGCATTGGCTGACCGCCTTTTTATCTATGTAATATCGCATGGTCGCGATAAAAGGTCAAAAAGGGAAAAAAAAAACACTGATGAAAAGGGCGATCATGAACAAAACGCAAATTGTTCCGGCTTTTTTTTTTTCAATGACTGTTTAGATTTAGCATTAAAATGTGCGAAAACTGCGTCAGGTATACAGACTACATAGCGCGTTACAGGATTCTTTTTAACAACTGTTATACTACTAAACGGTGCCTTAGTATGCTTATTTCCCGCTTCCCAATACAAGAAAACGACAGGACATTATGAAACAAAAGTCAACCAAAAAGCTTTTAGAATGTGTTCCAATTTTGTTTGTTCTTACGTATCGCCCTTAAATAAGTTAAATCACCGCAATAACTATGTTCAGTAAGAGGCGCAACATGTTGTGGATGAAGAATAAACTCAAAAACCGACTCCAGGACAAATAATGTCTTGGTCACGAAAGCTGTGTCGTCTGTTTCGTCCTCTTGCGTGTTTCTTTCGTTTTAAGTAAATGTAGATCACCAACAAGCTCAAGTCTTTAGTCAATCTTAATTCACGCATTGAAAGCTATTCCTGTGGATCGTCGCTTAGCGACTGCAAACAAAAGTTCTTACAAAAAACCTGCAAGTCAGTTCTTTTTTTCAAAGGCGGCAGCTTTGTTAAGTTTTGCGGGTCGAGATGTGTCCTAATGTTGCCAGGCAGCCAAGCGACACGGCTGTGGCCAAAGGCACGATGAACCGCTTGTCGAAGGCCCAACCTTTTCCTCGTCCCTAATGGCTGCGCGGGGCACGCGGTGACACGGGTGAGGGGATATGCAGGAAATCTCTCCATAAGCGCGCCGCTCTTAAATAAAGACCCGTAGGGTTTCCTGAAGTTTTTTTTTAGTTTAAACATATTTCCAGGTCATTGCTTTAATACCTCGCGCCGCGACTTTATACACGTGACCTTGGTGCGCCCCGAAGGGCGTTGACTGCGGCTCAGATGGGTTAACGACATTGCGACCGTCGGGACTTATACGGGTCTAGCAGAATAATATCCTGGTTATATAACTAGAAAAAAAAAGACATCAGAGATATAGAATTTACATTGTGATTGTACAATAGGAGTAAAATGCTGCAACGCCTGCAGCATCCGGCAGGCAGACCTGCTCCAGACTTTTGTATAGTGGCGTTTGCTTAGCCGATTCCAAACGTCGGATTGCTTCTACACTAGGCTTCTTCAAGATCGTGGGGCTTAGAGGCGATTTTGGGAGCGAGGAATGCTTTTTGAAACTGAAGCGAAGTTAGTGTGTTCCTGAAACAGTCGGGGTGTACTATACATGTCCCGTTGTGACCAGTGAATAGCGCTTGATCAAGCCAAGCCTGATGCCTACCCTTGAAGTTTCGGATCGCTCGCCTAGTCCTTTCCTGTGGCACTGCCGCAGCTGCAGGCCGCATGGTGGGTTCGCGTTTAACATGGTGAAAGACGGATCACAAGAAAAGGATACAGAGTGGAGAAACACTCCTCTTGCCTTGTCTTCTCGCGCACTGTTCTTTGTCGTGTTCAATGTCTACCAACTCGCCCAGCTTACTATCTTTACACAGTCTAAGTGGGATCGTCGGTTGTTTGCGGCTTGTGTCTCAAAAGAGTACACCACAAACAGCCTTGTCGTTTGTGATTTATTCTTCCGGGAACACCCGGAGGTCTCTGAAAGTAGGTATCCCAAGAGAAAGAAACCCCAAATGGTGAGGTCTTGTTTACGAGAGATCAGCACCATAGTACAGTGGTTAACAAAAGGAAAGAGCGAACTCTGTTCTTATGATTTGCAGAGGAACTAAGATGTCTTTTTGATTTACCTTTGAAAAACGGACGGTTATTTTGCCAGACCGTTCGCGTGATGTATGAATGGTCGTGTTCACGCGCGAATAGTGGACTTCACGGTATCTCCAGTTTTTGTCTAGTTTCTACAGTATTTAAAGCGGTTTACCTAAGTCATTTGCTAGTTTATTAACTATGTTTTGATTTCTGCGCGCAGTTGGACTAGATTACACCGCAGTGCATGTCGTGCGATGGAGACTTCTGACGTTAAACTGCGCAGCTTTTTTTTTGTCTCTTTCTTCACTATCTAGAGTCAATAAGATTGAATTGAACGCGTAGCTGTTTGCCCAATGACATCCAAATACTGCGCATGTTGGCGCCTATCCTCATGAACAACTCGAGAAACCCGAAACTTGGCGAGTCCCGTGAACCTTGTTATCGCTCTACGCCAGCGAGATTCCGACACTAGCCAACATAAAAGCGCTCAGGAACCAATCACAGAGCAAGAAGTGCTCAACATACTAAGTCACACCCTACGTTTCTTAAGACTTTACTGGTTATAGTTAGTTTTGTTTTCTACGTGAGGCAAAATATCATAAGCCGATTATGTCTCTTGGCCCACGTGACTTGCTTGAAAGAAATATACCGACTAAATTGTTCTTTTCATCATTCATTACTTTAGTATGACTGGTCGTGGCAGTCTGGGAATAATATTAACGAACAATGACATGGTAAGGAACGCGCGCGTTTACCTAACTGCCTACGGTACATACTAAAAACGTTTGCACTCCTAAGGCTGTAAATCAGTTTGTTCCAGGGCTAACACCCTAAAAGTGTTACAGCGACATTTTAGGAGGATACTGGTGAGCGCCGAAAAAAATAGAACGCTTGACATTGTTCTCGCCAATATTTCGACTAATGCAGAATATATAGGTCGAGCAATGTATATTCAGGAATATATATCCGTGACAATAATTATTCGAGATTGATGCTCAAATAACCTCGCTAAAGTGTGTGTCAGTTTTACGAACACCCTTCAAAAAAAGTGTTCGACTCGCTTTTACACCGTTTAAAAATTGGAGGGCATTATATGGAACTAACACA